GCCGGGCTCCCCGAGCGCGCTGCGGTTGGCGCCCGCCGCCTCGGCGCCCGACGCGTTGCGCGGCTCGCTGGCGTTGCGCGAGATCCAGCTGCCGTTATGCCCCATGGCGAGGCTGGGGCCCCGGCTCTGCTCGTCGCCCGCCTGTCCGCCGGCCTCGTTCCCCGTGTCAGTCCCGCCTGCCCGGGGCACAGAGGGACGCGCGGGTGCCTGGTGGAGTCCTGGAGAACCCGGGGCAGCCTCGGGTTCCCTCACGACTCCACATCGCCAGCCCCGGCGTGTGTGAGGTGGGGAGGGCGAAAGGCGAGACTGCGCCCCATGCCCGTTCCCTCGTGGATCCCGGTCAGAACCCACATGAAGGCGGCGCGGTCAGAGCCCGCCGCGCGTCGTCCGTCCCTCCTCCCGGGTGGTCAGTGCAGCCAAGCCCACTCAGCGGAGATGGAAACACTAAAAGAGGCATTTGATGATCAAACGAGGAAGCTCTCCACTGTCGCCTCCCCCTTCAACCTCGGCTGCTTCCACCCCCACCCCACCTCCCGGAGGACCCGGGCATCCCTCTCGAGTCCCCTCGGCTGATGGGCTCAGCCCCCCTCCTTAGAGGGAAGAGAGCACTGGGCTGAAGCCGTTGCTCAATCCTGCTGGCTTCGAGGCTGGATGGCGATGGGAAACCTGTGAAAAGCCCAAGCCAAAGTGGTCAAAGCCCCGAGGGGAGCCCCGAGTCCCCGACGGCGTCCATGGCCTGGGCGGAATGCCCTGAATCTCCCCCAACAGCCTCGCCCTCAGCACCCGGCCGTCCCCCAGGACGCCCGGGGTCTCCTCCGACCTCCCGCCTCGGCGTCGGCTGCGGGGACGCCGTCCCCACAGCCCCTTTGCCTCCGCACGGCCTAGAGCGCCCTTTCCCGACCCCGCTCCGGCCCTTGCTGCTGGGAGAGAACCTCGCAGCCCAGCGGGTACACGGGAGGACGCCCCTAGAGAGGTAGGGCACTGTCTGCGCGGCCGCGGGACTCCAGGAGAGCGCCCCGGGCGGCTGGGGGCGCGCAGCCCGCGGGGCGGTCACGTGACGCGCCTGGCCCCNGACGCGCCTGGCCCCGCCCCCCACGGCAGGGCGACCGCGGGGACGCCGCCATCTTGGTCCTCCTGAGCGTGACGCCTCTGGCCTGGAGTGTGGGAAGTGCGGAGGATCCTCCTCTTGCTGCGATGGCGAAGTTGGCGGTTTCTTTTAGGCTCCGCTTCCTTTATTATTGTTGTTACTGCTCCTTATCTTGTCGGCAGGGGCTGCCTGAGGCTTATAATTACACGTCGCCGCGACGACGTGGGCTGGCAGCCCAGTCTCCCGGCTCCACAGTCAGGCCTTGGGTGTAGCCGATGCATTTAAGAAAGATGAAATTTAGGAACACAGTGCACAGTTTACTAGGCCTTTTTATTGAGTCTCATTTCCAAAAGGCACGCAGTATAACCCAGGGCTGATGGATTCCAGGAATGAAGAGTTGGGAGGGAGCAACATCCTGCGGGCTGATGTGAAAGGATGGGAAGCTGGGACAACCAAGGAAGGAAGAAGAAACGGTAAAGTGGAAGCTGAATGGGAAAAGGAATGTGTGTGGCATCTCGAGAAAGGATCTGGGGGGAAGAAATGGAGAAACGAGACAGGAAAAAGGCTGCTAAAGATTTGCTTGTTTTGACTTACGGAAACTGGTTTCTTTTTTAATAGCGAAAGGACGTAATTGAGGGCTTTGACGTATTGACTGATAGGACTAGGTCCCAGGACAGTAATTCTTAAGAACTGATTAAAATACAGTTATGTCTTGGTTGCTTCAAGGCTGATCGTGCTACAACATGGCTACTTCACTTTCACTGGTAACCCCGTTATTATTCGTCTTGAAAGGGCGAAAGTCTGTGTCTTGTACGTCTTTGGATTCTCACAATACCTGCACGTAATAATCCTCTCTGCAAGCAGTTATTTTAAACATTTTGGAGGCCAAAAAAGAGATGGGGAAATTACTAATTGTAGTTTCAAAAAAAAGTTTAAAATTTGTTCTGGGAGTCCAAACATTTTCCAAGATGAAATACCCCTTAACATAATCATTACAAAACAAAAAGGATAACACTCCTTTAGGAAGGGCTGGAGAAGAATGTGAGTTGACTAGTAACAGTTGTAAAACTACCTTTTACCCACCTTCACCTGCCACCCCCTATTCAAAACTGATAAAGGTGTAGGAAAGAGTATTTAGGAAAGCAAGAAACCTCTTTTTTTTTTTTTTATCCTGAAAAGATACCAGTAAATTCTCTACAGTCCCTAAATTGGTGTTAGGGTATAGGATTGGTTGAATCAAGAAATAACCCGATCAGCTAAGTTTACCATGATTCCCAGACTTGTGGAAGAATTGCTTTGTGAAAATATAGGACCAAGGGCATAACTCCTAGGACATAATTTCTGTGGCTGTGTGGTATATGAATTTTTCACTGGCTACAGGAAAACTTAAGGTTGATCTAAGAGATTGGACATGATTTAAATGTATGTTAAGTGTCTATAGTAATGTTATACTTGTCAGGTCATCACAAACTTAGTGGCCAAAAGAAACAGCAATCCTTTATTTAGCTCACAAATATGCATTTGGGGCAAGGCCTGATGGGACAGTTTATCTTTGTATCACATGACATCAGCTGGGGCATCTCAAAGTTGAGGCCAGGTTCTGAAATCTGAAAGCTTGTTCACTCACATGTCTGGCAGTTGATGCTGGCTGCTGGGACCTGGGCTGGGACCGTCAGCTGGAATACCTCTATGTGGCCTCTCCAAGTAGCTGCTTATCTTCCTCACTGCCTGCAGCTATGATCCAAAAGTGACTATTCCAAGAGAGACAAGAGGACAAGGCAGAAGTTGCATTGACTTTTATGACTTAATCTCAGAATGCAGTGGAAGTGATGCTATATGACTTCTATTTGTCAAAGCGGTCAAAGAAAACCCCACCACATTTACGGAAAGAGGACATAGACCACACTAAAGGGAGGATTGTCAGTCATAATGTGAGAAGAGCATGTGGAATGCGAGGTACGCTGCAGTCATTTAAGGAAAATATAATCTGCCATAATACTTATTTTCCTTTTGTCAGAAGGTCCCGTTTCCGGTATATTTCTTTTGGAATTAAACCTGAAGAGATAAAAAAACACAAAAATGAATTACAGTCCACTTCAATTACTTATGTATAGGTGTTACATGGACATGAGCTGGCCAATAGTAATACCTGGTAGCAATCTGATACACAGCCATGGCTGAAGGCAGGTGATCGGGTCTACCAGCCAACATGTTATATGCTAGTTAATTCTTACACAAACTTTCTGGAGCTACACTAAAAATAGGAAATGGAGTAAAAAAATAGGCAATCTCTGCCTCTTAGGTAATAAGTAATGGTCCTCTTCCATAATGAACAGTATAAGAAGGCATTCTCCCAATTTAAAAACACTGTGTTCAGAACTTACATGCATGTATGCGTGACCCAAGGACACAGGCAATAGTGTGGTGAAGGCCTGGGGCAACAGTGAGGCGCAAAGTAGAAGGTGTCAATGGAGGGAAAAAGAGGACATCTGTAATACTTTCAACAATAAACACAAATTTAAAAAACAAAAAAAACACTTTGTGTTCCCAAAGTTTTAAAGTTAGTTGTCTAGCACTCAGGATCTATTTCCCTATAGAAATAATAAACATGGTGACAGGGTTCCCAGGCAGGGTAGGGGGAAAAAGAGGGAGTGAGAGGCTCTAGGGATTAAGGACTTTCAGAGAGGTCCTATTCAGTCTATACCTCCCTCTCTGAAGGTCTTCCTCCTTCAGTCTTTTTAAAGAGTTACCTCTCATCCTAGGCAGTGTGGCTCAGTTGGATGAACATTGTCCCATGTACCACAAGGTCACTAGTTTGATTCCTGGCCAGATCATATGCCTGGGTTGTAGGCTTGATCCCCAGTGGGGGGGGAGGTGCAGGAGGTAGCCAATCCATGTTTCTCTCTCCCTCTCCCTTTCTCTAAAAAGTCATTCAGAACATTTTCTTTTAAAGAGCTACCTCTCTCATACCAGTAATTCACCCATTTAACAAAAACATGTTAATACCCTTGTGCTGGGAAGGCAGAAATACAGTAGTGTAGACTAGAACAGATTCTCATAGCTTTCTCCAATCACCTGATCCTTAATCATATACCTACTGGGATTTGCTTAGGAATTTTCCTTCTCTTAACCATAGGAAAATATGTATAATGGTTAATTTTATGTGCCAACTTGACTGGTCTATGGGTTGCACACATATTTGGCCAAATGTTATTCTGGGTTATCTATGAGAGTATTTCTGGATGAGATTAACATTTGAATCTGTAGACTGAGCAAAGAAGATTGCCCTCCTTAAAACAGGTGGGCCTCCAACAAACATAAGGAAGCAACCAAAGTGCCCATCAATAGACGAGTAGATAAAAACACTATGGGACATAATATAGAATGGAATATTACTTGATCATAAAAAAGATGTTTCCCTCTTTCCCTCTCCCCTCCCCTCTAGAAATCAATTAAAAATCTTTTTAAAAATTAAAATAAAAAATGAAAGGAAAAGAAAGGACTAGAATTCTATATCCAATGAAAATATCCTTCAGGAATGAAGGAGAAGGGGATTGTGGTTTTAAAATTTGGTGTCCAATAACCGAACAATGTGAGAGTTTTCCCTTGGGAAGGTGAGGGTAAGTAGCAAGACCAGGAGATACACTTTGGAAGAGCAGGGAAGGCATGGAGAGGTAGAGACTCTTACTTGGAGAACTGAACTAAGTGTTTAGAGTAGACTTGGAAAATAAGAAAATCTTGGGATATACTGACAAATTGTGAACCCCACTTATACAATGACACTATAATCAGGCCATTGCTCCAAGGGCTTAGAGTTTATCTCCCAGGAGTTGGTTAAGGGTCAGTCTTTTGTTTGAAATACAGAGTTTGTATATCCCAAGCCTGCTGACTTAACCTTTTATTTCACATAGGGCAACCAAATGGAATTATGGACCTTGTTTGGATCCTGATTCAAATAAACCACTGTAAAACAACAAAACAACCACCTTTTTTCTTTTAATAGTTTAAGTTATAATTG